TTTGTTGTGTGTGTTGTGTGTGTTGAGGTGTGTATGTGTGTGTGTGTGTGTGTGTGTGTGTGCCATCAATCAACAATGGCTATGGTGATGTCATGCTTCAATTCCTGTAGATTGCGTCATTTCCTTTTTTGGGCCTAATGGATATGTCCATTTCATCAAGCAAGCAAGTGCATATGATCTCACACACACACACACACACATACACAGACACACACGCACACATACATACACAAACACACACGCACTCACACATTTTTGTATTACTTTAATTGTGAGGATGTTCTATTTCATGTAATTAATTCCCTGGAGGCTTTCCTTATTCTTTTGTTATTAGTGTCACATATTCTAAACCAAACCTGCCCATTATTGCAACATAAATACACAAAAACACACACATGCACGCATACCAGACATACAACAGAGAGATGAATCTAAACATATCCGTGCTTAGTTAATCCATAGATCCCATATCTTTAGTAATCCTGAATGGGATTGTGGTTAACAAATACATGGGGAAGTAGGTTGCAAGGGGGGGAAGGGGTCTGTGTGTGTGTGTGCGTGTGTGTGTGTGGTGTTTGTATGTGAGTGTGTTTGATGGAGATGGATAGGGCGAGCTGGCTCAGAGCCAATGCGACCAGTTATGTAGAAAACGACCCCCTCAATTACTTTGTAGCTTTGCTGCACAATCACATCTGGTCCAAAAATAATAATGTGCACGTTAATAAGTGTATCATGTGTGTGGAGAGAAAGGGACTAACACATAAACACAGATTCATGTCACACATTTTTATATTTTTATCCATGTATATGTGAGTGTTTATATCTAAAAAATCTAAGCAATGTTTGGCTGAACTTGACCTTCAGAAAGACAATCGTTTTTGTAATAAAAATAATTTAATCAATGAAGATGTCTCAAGAGAGTTCACTACATATTCCTAGTAGAAAACATATTTCCGTAGAAAAAAACCTCCAACACAAATATATATCTTTGTCCTGAAGCCGCTGAAATCCTGAATCTGCACTGCAGAGTTTTTATCTAACACAGCCTTTCATTTCCACATTCCTCAAAGGTTTTTTATGGGATTTCTTATGCAGGGACATCAATACACCACATCTCTTTCTGCAGAGCATCTTTAGAGCTTCTTATGAAATGATCATGCACAGGGAACATCTTTTAAAAGCTTTTGCATGCAAATGACTGTTTTGTGTCCAAATGAAGATTAAAACGCCACTATATGCTTGGGCTAGGGGAGTTTATTGTGTTTTGCCCCTTTCAACAACAAATATTCAACAGTGTGTACGACACCCTCTGTCCTACGACCCTACCAACATACGAGTAAAAACTCCTTTGTGGGAGATAAACTGCTAACTTTTTACTCTTTGCATTTTATTTTTTATCCTTCGGATTTGAGCCTTTGTAGACCATTTGCGTGCACACAAACCCACAGGAAAGGAGGAAGCCCAAAATGCATATGGTCCTCTTTAACGTGGATCAATAAAGTCTTGTTTTAGTACTTCTGATTGTTATTTCACAGTATAATGTGTGCATATGCGCACTTTGCTGTTTTGTTGACAGTGAAGCCAGAACATTTGGGAGACTCTGTTACTTCAGAGACCATACTTGGAAAGCAGTGTCCACTGTTTTGGTCTTTTTCTTGCTCATATCTTTTACACATTTCAGGTTTTTAAGTTGTACACTTTGTTGTTGGGTTTGTGTCTAATTAGCATAGCCTGGATTTTGTTGAGGCCTGATGGTAGTGCAGAACTAGTCAGTATTTCAGAATAAATCTCAGAGCGCTTGACGCTGCCAATCACTTTTGTCTCCCAGATTAAGTAATTATTCTTAAGTCCCAGAGAGGCTTACTTGAAGATGTGTTAGTTTTGAGACCATGGTGCACATATAACGTGTAATTATCTCAGTTTTGTAACTACTTAAAGAGGTTCAAAGATATACAATGAGGTAATGCTGGACAGTATTGGGGCTATAGGAGCTTCTGATAGGATAATGCAGTCAGCAGTTGTGGTAGGCGTTTGCTGCCAGCTCAATAATGTGCAGCCTGGAAGGAGACTGCAAGGTTGATCTGCCCATGTTGCCGTGCATATTAGCTCTGCCTCTATACTGCTGACCGCCTTTATTGTCCTCAACTCTCCTTCTCATCTACTTAAAGGCCCTTATACTTCTCTCTCCTTGAACAACCAGGAAGTCAATATCTGTCTTTGTTTTGGTCATTTTTCTTTTAATATAATGTTAGTTGTGCGTCATAGAAATCAATGAGGTGTGTGTGTGTGTGTGTACAGTATGTGTCGTTCAAGATATGGTTGCAACATTCAAGGTCGAACCACGAAACAGAGCCTTGAATGCTGAGTGAGGCTGTAGGAGATAAGACAGAAGAACTACCAAACATACCACGCTCGGATGTGCTGAGCTCCTCCTTTTCATTGTGAAACTGTTTCTTCAAGACATCATTCCTGTAGCCGACTTTCTGCAGTTAAATTACCCTCATCAAGTCAACACCTACCTTTTTAGCCTTTCTTGATATAAAGCTTTTTTAATAAAGCACAATTGGCACATTATTTGTTTGTTTTTCAATGTCTGCATAGTAGTTTAGTCTGTTTTGCTTTTTAGCAAGTTGGATTTAAATAAAAATGTGTAATCCTGTATCTGGTGTTTCCTCACAGTCAATTGATGACATCTTTTATAGCTTTTTCTAATTTCTATGATTTGTATTTCTATAGTATGCTGTTCTTTTTCTGATTGATTGACATGTGTCAGGGCAGTTCTGAAAGAGGATAATGATAGATGACAGGACCTCTCAAAGTCTCCCATATTTTGCAATCAATTCACTACATAAACAGAAATCAGGCTGTCTTTATATGCCTGTCTGAGTTCCTCTATCCGCCCTTTCCTCACTATCTGTCGTCATCTCTTCATGCCAGCTGCATGGGTGGGCGTGTAATGCTGACTGCAGAGAGAAAGGGTGTGACAATAGGAACAGAAAGGCTGGGAATAACACATATGCTGTTCTAGAGTCTGATTTATACCACCAGTAAAATTAGAAGTAAGATATTTAGTTGATATTCATAGATTTAAAGGATGTTTTTAATTAAACTAGTTTAATGGCTGATTGAACATTCAAGTTTCTGAAATGAACAAATCCATGCTTCATTAATCTAATCTGGAACAACAAACACTGCTGTTGGAGTGTGAGCTGAATGCGAAATGTAGAGATTTCCCTGCAGTCCTAAATGACATTTGAAATGACCGAAGGACAGTCACGACCAGCAGTCAGACAACCTGTCAGACACTTTAAGCCAAATATATATATTTTTTATCAGGGACAATCCAACCCTTCGAA